CCAGCAGATCTGTAACTTACAAAACATATTAAAATATTAATACTTCAATATATACCTCATTCGTTTATTGTGCTTTATTTTCTGTTCATATTTATTTGGACGTTTTTTACTTTACTCATTGAGCTTTTTATTCTAGCACTGTTTGTAGAGTGAAATGTTACTGCACTTACTGTCACCAGATATATAAGAGCCTATTCAATGCATGTCAGTGTGGATTAAATGTTATACAGTATATGTGGGAGGGAATGTGTTTGTAATATAGCAGACCAAAACCCGCCTTATTCATTAAACGTGTTTGCCTTATAGTTTATATCGTTGTGAGTATTTGGAAAGAACTATATACATTGTGCTTGCTAACAAGCTTTATGGGCCTGAGCTATTAATAGGATTTGTACATGTAGTTTTGGAAACAATTAAAGTTAGACATCTTGTCACATCTTTTTCCCTTTAAACTCATAGTATCAGTATTGACATTATAGTGATAAAATATGTATGCTGCTAAATACATGCTTCATGAACAGCATAAGGTATTGATTTCTACACAGCTATAATGATCACTACTACAGCATTTGGCACTCCTCTCTCTATATTTGTGGATTTGATTATATTTTAGAATAAGGATATAACAATATATATTGTCTACAAAGTCAAAACATTCATTGGCTGTGAGATGGGTATCTGTATTACATTTCAGGCTCATATGATCTAGCATGTGCTGATTTAAGATTACAATATGACAATGTAATGATTATGAAACAATTTTTCTGTGCAAGTTTGTTTTTAATATTTAAGTTATTGTGGTCATTGCTTTTGCAAGAAAGGTTGCAATATATTTTAGAAATACTTTCTGTTTAAAATGATAGGCTACAGCAAGGTCCACAGTGGCGCTGAGTGACAGAAAGACTAACAATGCTGCAGCGGACAGTGGTGTTACTAACTTTGAGATACGCAATTTTGTGACACAAGAGTTGAATATGATTTAAATTCTCTGTTGAATGATTTTAAAGAAGAAATTCTACTGTTAGAAACTGTTGAAGGTGAATCAAATTGATACCTGAGGGCATTTCGGGTTAGGGAAAAAAACAGACAGAAATAACACCTACAGGGAATAAGTCACTTTGTTTATTCAGGGCAAAGTGACAGGTCAGCTTGATTGCCAGCCCCACCAACACTTGCCTTCTCTGTGCTCCCCCACTACCCTGTTTGCTTGTGGGAGTGCCGAGTCAAATCCCTGTGTCACTTGTTGGAGCTTACACAGGGTTACTGGCTTCTCTCTTTCTCCATGTGACAGTGTTTCTGCCTGGCGGTTGGCTGATTAGGTAATGCATTCTGGGAAGAAAGCCACAAGGTCATATGTTCCCCCATACCCAGAAGTACTGGGTGTTTCCAATCGCTCTGACAGACAAACAGAGCAGCGCAGTTAATATAAGTGCTGCAGGAAGAAGGGTTAATAAGAGAACCTGTAGGTCTGTCCAGAATGTGCACTAGATTAACTGATCTTAATGAACATTTAAAGTGTAAAGTGTTGGCTGGCTGGCTGAGAACTTGGTAAAGCATCTGATTCCCTGGTGCAAAAGGTTTACTCACAACAATACTAAACATGACTGTAAATAAAAAAATATACCACTGTATGTAATAACATATAAAATGCATACTAAATATAAGTAGATTTTCCAATGCTTTCAGAATTCCTTTTAGAATGGGAAAAAATATTAAGCCATATACTTTTCCTGCTGGTTATTTGATCATTAGTATAATGGTGCAAAATGGCCGATTTTTCATACTTGAGATCTCATAAAGTGTATCTAAAGCCATCTGTGTCCCTTTAGGGAGATTTCACTTCCTTTACTGTAGACTCAACAGGAAGTGAGAGGATAGTGTTCCAATGCAACCCTCTCTTAGACATTTATCACCAGCAAGTGTCTCGAAAGATTAAGTTTAAGAATTAGGTGAGGTTGTAACCTCTCACCACTCTTATACTTTAAAATAGCAGCATATAAAATGACAATAAAACAGTAGATGATTGCCAGTTCGCAGAGTACATATTTTATATACGCAGTGCATATATAAAAGAGTGTCAACTAACGCTTAGATCTGTAGCAACATGTGCCAGTTCTTGGAGTTCCAAAGAAGTCAAAAGGTCAGTTACTAAACTACATGTGCATTGGTCAAGAACACTCCAAAATTATAAAATATGTAAAAGGGGAAATTCTCAAATATAATGGCAGAATTTTTCAATATTGGATATGCAATGGAGTTTATTTACTAAAGGTACATCTACCCCACTGCAATCAGCAACACGGAATGGTGGTTTAAAGTTTATGGACAGGAAAAGATGGACATCAAACAGATCAGTTGATAATTGTAACAAAGGTAACATTTTAAAAATTACTATAGAATTGAAGCAGCACCTCTGTGACCAGGCCTTAAAGAAAATCTGTCACTTTTACACATTTGTGGCTAATCACAGGTTTTCTTTTTTTCTACTGCACTCCTTTGCTGCTCTCCCTTTCCTTCTTGGATCCAAGTAGCCTGAACACTATCACATGGGGGAGGGAAGAAGGTGATTTGGAAAGACCACCTTGAGCCCCGACCTATTGCTCCTGCAGGTGAATAATGCAGCACAGGGATAGTAAACATCAGCGAGGGGAGCAGCAGGTGCTCCTTCAAGCAACCTGTCACTCTGCCCTAGCTGGAAAAAAATTACAGATTCTTTTTTTAGCAAAGCTGCATAAAACTGAAATTCAGAATCTGTGTACACTCTTGACCAGTGAACAAACCTTGTGCGATTTAACCAACACATGAACTCCTGGTAATGCTATAAGTAATATAAGTTCTGGTATCACCTTATTCCCTACCTCTAGCAAGGTGTATGTTTGAAATCAGCCAAAAATAACTTCAACCCGCTTCACCCTTCAACTGTTACTAACAGTTAAATATAAGAGATCCGTAATAGTATGGGCAGCCGTTTTGTGCTAGTCATAAGGTCACATGCAGATTGTTCTGCATGGTCATGTAATGACCAAGGAATATGATGCCATTTTAAAAACTAGATACAAACTATGGTGCTAGCACAATTTTCTTATGATATTCCCATTTCCAGGGTATTTCCCCTATTCACTTTGCTGAAACTTCAAGATGGCAAAAAAATTCAAGATGGCAAATGGCTTCCATATCACAACACCAAAATAGCACGAGCTATATACTGTATACTCCATTCTCCTTCATCCCTCAAATGAAAGAATGGCACATTTGACTTCACACGATTCAGGATCTGCATGACATCATTCCAAAGAAGGACTAAAGTTCTGAAGCCAAGGGTTGTCCTGCTCCTAATGAGTTAGGGGCAGAACTACCATTTGTTTGCCCACTCCCTACATTATCACACACATAGCAAGGTGTTCAATGCAACAGATATCTTTTCCCCAACTGATTGTAAAACAGCAAAGTTTGCAGCACACTCATAATTTAATTGATAGTATATGATGACTGTATAGAATTGTTGCCATATGCTTTTATTAAAAGTATGGGTACACTGCAACTGTGAGAAGATTTTGCTTTCATTCCTGTTTTCTGCAGCTGTAGAGACCAGCTATTTATTGATTTAAGCATACAGTATAAATAGAATATATTCATTCAGAAGAACAATTCACTTTAATGCTGGTCCATCCCTTTTCGTGTTAGGTCTGTGGAATTGTGTTGTTCTGGGATGATGCGTTTTTGCCGATAATAAATTGTTTCAACGACTGGGTAAAACATATTTGCTGGGATGTTTGTACTTTTAGTGGCATCTCTTAGAACTGCACATGATTTTGTTCCTTTTAGGCTAAATTCACACTGGCATTCCTCCTAGAAGATTATCTAAACGCAGGAGAACTTATCTGGGAAGTATAAACAACTGTTATGCTTCCCAGATCACGTTCTCCTGTGTTTAGATGTTCCTGATTTAAAGCGGGTTTAGCCGCATTTACATGCGTTTAGAGTTTCCATCCAGATCCAGGATGCACAGAATTCTATTTTAGCTATAAGCAGTTAAACTGACTGCACCTAAATGTGGGCAAACACTTAGTTTAAATCAGTGGTTCTCAACCTGTGTAACCTCAGGATCCACATTTGTCCTTGGCCATTAAGTCGCAACCCAAGTCGCACTGCGGTGGAACGCAGGGCATTAGGGTACTGCACATTCTGTTGCGGCTGTACGAACTGTGGGTGGGAGGATCATTTGGGGTACAACTCAATGAATGACAATGCAACGCACCTCCCATACCAGAATGCACGGTAGGTGCGATTGTGTGGTACAGTTTGACACACTGTACTAGTGTGAACGAGCCCTCAAAAACACTGACATACATGTAGACATACAGACACATTCACACACACCCTTCTTTTTTTTTTAAGGTCCACCCAATCTCCCTACCTTACTAGAACTGGAGTGGATCCTCAGCCTGGGGTCCAGTGTGGGCTGCTGTGACAGAGCTTTATCCATATGTGCATACAGTTGTACAGCTCCCTTGCACACCCTGTAGAGTTTCCAGGAGCCAGAATGTGACGTCACTCTGGTCCAGGCACCTCTACATGACAAGCAAGGGAGCTGTAAACAATGCACGTATGGATGGAGCTCCCTCGCGGCCATAGCCCTAGCCTGCCCCACCTAAAGCTGACAATTGGCGCTGAGCAGCATATTGTGAATGGCTGCTTGGCGCGAAAACTGACAGTACTGCGCTAGGGGAAGGCAGAGCAGCCTCTCACCTAGAAAAGTGGAAGGCATGTGGTGACACACTGAACACAGTGTCGCGACCCATTTTTGGGTCACCACCCACCAGATGAGAACCAAGGGTTTAAATAATACCATTGAAAAAGAACTGGATGCATTTATATGCATTTAGTCATGTCCTCTAAACACAGGTTTGACACTGCCAGTGTGAATGAGGTCTTACTCTGTTACAGCACCACAATTGTCCTCATAAGGCTAATAGTAAGCCATTTTGTGGGAGCGCGTCTTTTTTCTTTGATTACCATTTCAAAGAATGGGTAAGTTCACAAAGCCAAAATCCTGTTACAAAAGATGATAAAAGTACTGTTGCATCAGTGTTCTTAACAAAATTTCATAGTATGTAGACTTGAAGCAAAACATGTAGTTGCTGCCCATTTATTGTGCAAGGCAGATTGTATATGCCTGTGCAGTCACAGTGTTAAGATGCAGCAAGGGATTGTAATTCTCTTCGAAATAAAGGGAAACGCTTTTATGACCTTGCACATGCAGAACTGAAATGAATGTTCCAGGGTTATGTACTCTTACATGAGACTGCATTTCCCCTTAATTTTGTCTGCCCTCTTCTGCTTGCTGGACCTTTTGCCATCAATATTTAGGCTCATGTTTCTCCTTTTCTCCAAGTTTAGTAGCTCTTGAAAAAGTTCCTTCACATTGTAGTTCATCTTAGCTGAGGTCTCCATGAAGGCACATTTCCACTCTTTGGCCAATGCCTCGACTTCTTTTGTATCCACTTCACGCTGTGTCTCGTCGCACTTGTTTCCCACCAGCATTACTGGAATGTTCTCTATACTACCTTTGATCTGCAGAATCTGCTGATAGATTGGCTTTAACTCCTCTATTGACTGTTTGCTGGTGACAGAGAAAACTAGAATAAAGGCATGACCCTTGGAAATGGAGAGTCGCTGCATGGCTGGAAACTGGTGGCTTCCAGTTGTGTCTGTGATTTGCAGGGTACAGACACTTTTGTCACAGCTGATGACCTGGCGATATGTGTCCTCAATAGTGGGAATATACGTGTCTCGAAATGTTCCTTTCACAAATCGTAAGACCAAAGAGCTCTTCCCTACACCTCCTGCCCCAAACACCACTACTCGATAATCATTACTTTGTTCTGGCATTTTAAGAGCTTGTTGAGTCCTAGAACAAAGAGAGAGAGAGAAAAAACACACACAACAAAAATCATATATAGTGTAATGCATGATGTACAGTACATATCCAAAGCTGTGAAGTCATACTACATTGTAAATATCAGAAGGAAAATTAGAGAAAAATCAATACTTAAACACACTATTCGGACTCTAAATAGAGTGTACCTTTAAGCTGTCCTGGACTCTTTAGAAGCAAGTTCATCTGCTTCATTTTCTACCTGTTTGTGACTTTTTAAATGTTCTAAAATGTCATCATTTCATGTTTGGTTAATTTGAACATTCATAAACTAGGGGGTCTATTCACAAAGCTGCCCAAGGATCTGGCCCTAGCTTCGGCCGATCCTTCGGCTAGCTTCGGCCCCAGGACCCCTTCGGTTCAGTAGAACCGAGGGGGTGCTGTACGAGCTATTGACAATAGCCCGTACAGCTCCCGATCATGGCCGAGCGGCTCAGCCCAGCCGAACGCATATGCCTCGGCTCGGCTGAGCCGTAATCTCAAAATTAATTTGAGATTATCCAAAATCCTATATTCTCCTGCAGTGCAGTTTTTTGTCATGTTTTTCATGTCCCCATGACAATGATCACAGCAAAGTGTTCGATATGCTTTAGTTTTTAGTAATGTATGTAGTGTATGACACTTAATAGTGTTTTAAGAAAATCTTGCTAAAAACCTTTTTCTATATAATAGTCAACAACACTGTCTGTCCATGCAAGTTTATGGAGTTAACAACAAACTGTTGTCTAAACAGCTAATAGGACATAAGTTATGCTACATGCATGTTCATAGGATATATTAATTTACTCAGCACAGTCAGAGGGAACATTCTGTTAGAATTTCATGGTCACTGAAGCACAATAGTGGGGAATGTAGGCGACAGTATACAGAGGTGGCTAACTGCAAAAGTTTCTGTTCCACCGTGATGGCAGTGAAAGGGTTAAAGATAAACATACGATCTCCACAAATTATGAATGAACATGAACACTCAGTATAGGTGCTTCCTGTTCATTTATAACAGGGGCTGCAGAAAAAGAGATTGAGGACACTGTGTTCTCAATTTCTTTTTCTGTTTTATAAGGGAAATATCAGGGGTCTGTTTAGACCCCCAATATTTCCCCAGAGCCCCCTATAGTAAAGTAAAAAATAAATAGAAATATTTAATAAAAATAAATAAGTACAAATAAAATATTTTTAAAAAATTTGAAAAGATTAGAACATTTTTTTGTTTGGGTTTCAGTCTGACATTTATGTTTATTTTCGGTTTTGTTTCGGTTTTGAAAATTTCATTTTGGTGCACCTCCAGTTAAAGGGAATCTAAATTGGTTTGAGGGGAATTGTATTTCACATTTTCTTTATTTTCTTTAAACCAATGTAATTTATCTTTGTTTCATTGAAACTGTTTCATTTCAGATACTCTATGGGGTTGATTTACTAAAGGCAAACCGGGTTGTTCACTTTGCAAGGGAATTTTGAGGTAAATCTCTGCTGACTCTTATTGTCCAATCATGTGCAAGCAAAAACACAGTTTTTTTACATTTCATGCGATTGGGTATTCTTTGCAATGCGAGCAGCCTATTTGCCTTTAGTAAATCAACCACATTGCTAACTTATTTGTTTGCACAGGGGATTAAAAAAAGGAACCATAGTAACGTGCTATAATAAAAAATATCACTTAACAAAATTGCGTGCTGGCGGCATATAAAAATGCCAAATATTCATATGAAACGTTTAATATTTACCTGACCAAACTATTTCTTTTTTTTACTTTTAGTCCTGACCAAATTACATTGAGAGATAAAATATTAACCAAACCAATATGCATTCCTTTTTAGATTTCTTTGATTTTTAAAAACATAAGGTAATTACTTGTCAAAATATGGGATCTCAAGATTTGCTGTATTTGGCAGTACTGTATAAATAGATAAGGATTTGTCTTTTCAGTCTTTCACAGGTAGGCTCTAAATGATGCATGTAAAACATTTTCATAGGGCATATATGGTTCAGTAAACTTTTGAGTGTGTAATCGGGGCAAATAAATTTGCTCTCAATAGTCAGAAATATTTTTTAATGGGAAATGCTGTCTGAAAGAAGAACTCCGGGGAAAATTATTATTAACCCTTGCAGTGGGGCTACCCCACACTGCAAGAGTTAAGGGCTTGTTTGTGTCTAGGGATGAAAATAAAAAAGATTTGCCTGATCCTTCGATATGACTGGCCCTGGAGCCTCTCTCTCCTTCTGCTGCAGCGGTCTAAGGTCCGTAAATCATTACGTTCTATACAAAGTGCATAGGATGTGACAATGCCGAGGGACATGCCATGGCTGCGGCGTAGGAGGGACTGGTGTCACAGCCGGCCGGCTTCGAGTGGCGGGTGAGTATAACTTTGTAATTTTACACCCTAGACCAAAACAAGCAGTTCACATAAGCATATAAAACAGGTGTATGTTTTGTTTTATAGCTTTCCAAATTCTGCAAAGCAAATGCCTGTTTCCTAAGGCCTGGTTCACACTGAGCCTTTTGTAGTGTTTCTTCTGCCCTAAAAAACGCTCAAAGAATATGCCCCTTATTGAAAGAATGAATGCCCCCATTCATTTCTATGGCCCTGTTCATATCTAAACGTTTTGTCGCAATAAGAAAAATGCCTGTCGCTGGAATAAAGTACATGAGCTTTTTTTTGGCATATTACAGCTCGTTCTGACAAGGAAAGAGCTTTGCTATAGCGTTACATGAACCCCTTAGTGACCGAGGCCTTTTTTTAGTTTTTTTGTACCCATGATATAGTCCACATTTTAGGCCTGAAAATTACTTCAACCCCCCACACATTATATATTTTCTGAAAACCAAGACCCTGTAGAATAAAATGTTGGCAGTTTAAAAGTTTTATGTTGCACAATATTAGCGCAACGTATTATCAAACCCCAAAATGTATTGAAAAATGCCCTTAAGTGCACCAAAACACAATTAAATACCCATTTTTAAAAATAAAATATAAAAGATGATGTTAGAACGATTAAATAGATACCCAACATGTCCAGGTTAAAAATTGTGTGCGTCTGTGAAACTGCGACAAAATTCTGTACTCCAAAAGTCCATAGGCAACGCTTTAAAAGCCCCCACAGTTCAGGCGTGCGCGGTGATACCCATCATGTGTAACGTCGTCGTCGTTTTCATACGTAGGTGCACCCGACGAATGTTTACGTGAAGAAGTGCGTGCTCGCAGGGGCTTTCCTTTTTTTTAAAAATTGTTTTTACATTTATTTCCTTTAATATTAATTTTAAAAACCGCTTACAAACTCCCCATGTGATAGCAGATTGCCAGTGACAGGTACTCTTTAAGGCGATGCTGGGGGTCTAAAAGACCCCTAGTGTCACCTTTACACTTGAAATAAGCTATTGAAGTGCAGATTGCACTTCAATAGCATATAGCTGGGCTTCAGGACCCCAGGACTGACAGCTATGGGAACGGAAGTGATGTAATCTGCATCGCTCCCCGTCCCATAGTACGAAGAGGGGATCCGCGTACCATCTCCTCCCCTTACTTCCCCCCCCACGACACCAGAGAAGCCGGTGATGGGCTCGTAGAAGGGGCGTTTACCGGCCTGGAGAAGCCGATCACGCGACAGCTGAGTCCCCTGATCGCTTCTATTGTAAAGAGTCCCGGCGGCAAGTCTGTTTAAACGGGCCCGGTGCCAGTGGCGTACTATGGGTGTCACTGATCCTTAAGGGGTTAAAGGATCAAGGAATCAGTTATTCAGAGACCATTGGGTTATACTACCACCTTCAGGAGGAATTAAGCAATGGCAAACGAAAAACCCTTCCTATTCCCATAATGCTTCAGTAGAAAAGTAGGATTAGGAGTAGATCACAAACACAAAAGAATGGGATCTGTATTACTTAATGAACTCCAAGAAACTGATTTTCTCATTCATTAAGGAACACAAAAATCAGTTATTCAGAAACAATATGGACATCAAATGCAATCCAACTGAAATTGGCACTAGTAACAAAACACTAACAGGCCCACATAAAAACAGTAAAAATGTGGGCTGTCTACAGCTTAAAGAGCTGCCTGGAGGTCCACACGCTGAAGTTGGCTTTAGATAAGACCTGAACATCTACCTGCTAAAACATGTAAGAACAGAAACAGTTGCCTGATGCCAAAAAGTCCAAGAAGCACTCAAAGACCTATTAGACTGGGCCCTGGCCGTTGTTCTTGGGACCATATGCTTGAACAATGTGTCTGACCCCCTGAGAGCTGGTGGATCGAGAAACTGGTTGCCGTTTACCAAGACCATCCACAATGACAAAAAACAGAGTCAGCCTTTTTAATGGAAGCAATGGCTGAGAGCAATGGCAGAAACACACACAGCATGAACTACATCAAGGTAGTGAAGAGAAATTTCCTCATGATGTACTGGAGCTAGACAGGGAGATGGAAGAACAACGTCCTGGTTGAGGTGAAAGGCCCAAAACCATCTTTAGAAGGAAGGAGGCTCTAGGCTTCAATACCAACTAGTCCTTAAAAAAAATATATATAAATAGGGTTCTGTAAAGGTCAAGTCAGCCAGCTTAGACACACACCTGGCAGAGGGAGGCAACAAGGAACACAACCTTTTTAATGAGAGTGGAAAGGGGAATATCCCTGACAGGTTCAAAAGGTGGTCTCTGGCGTACCCCCTAACCCAGATTCAAATCCCATGGAGTCTGGACCAATGAATGGGAAGCTGTCTATGGAATAACATATCAAGACCCCGAGAATTGTGGCATGATGGCACTCAAAATCAAATTCTGTTCCATACCTAATTGCAGAAAGGTTAGGATTTTTCACACATAATATTTCCTGGAATATGTTTTCCAAGTGAAGTAAGACTTCGAAGTGCAATGGTAGACCTTACGAGAGGTAGATTTCTTATCTTTTAACAGCATAGTAATTACTGAATGGGAGAAACTCTTATCTTTCAGGACATGCCATTAAAGCCAGCAACTGTGTAGC